ACACTATCAAGCTGATTCCAGTGGCTCCAGCTGTTCCCCACAAAGGTCGGACAGACTGCCGCACACAGGAATCTTGATAGAACTGCTCGGGAGGTTTCCTGAAGCATCAGAGGCCTCCGGCAGGCACTCCAGTTTGATATTGGTGCATTGTAAACACAATTCCAGTGGATCTGGATGTTCGGAATGAACATTGGAAAGATTCCCCCCCAGAGCAGATTCATTTTCTGGGACGATAGAACTGCTCTGTGATACCTCCGACACCTCCAACACCTCCAACACCCATGTTTTGACCAACAAATATCCTACAGTTCCTCCATATCATTCAGAAGTGTTAGATGAACTATAAACAAAAGACCACTATGTGCAAAGCTCAGCAGGTGTAGCAGTATGCACAAAAGGAGGCCTCCATCCTTCTACTGTTCTGGACCACCCACTCAATTTACCTCATCATATGCACCTGGTCTCACTGGTTCAATCTTACAGCTCGGATCCTTGCTGATCTTGTCTAGGGGATATGGTAATATCTGAGTCGGAGCTACCAAGGGCAGGTGACCTACCTGCTCTATGTACCTGCTCTATGTATGTTGCTCCTGGGGTGGTAGAAGTTCTGATTGGCCTCTGATTTAAATTCTTCAAGGTCTTCCTTTGAAATAGTTTGTTGGATCCATATGGAATGTCAGCTCTGCAAAAATTACACATCTAGATGTAGGCAGTCTTTGTAGGCCTCTATATTGCATGAATTGGTGTCCAGATGCTTGTATAGACATTATGATTTACATTCTTATGAGGAATTTACCAATTTCCCTTAACTGAATTCACCAGCTTCTGGGATAGGATGCTGCCGGAGGGTGTCGGAGGTGTCGGAGGACGTCGGAGGCCGTCGGAGGTCACTATATTTGGCAGGCACCAGCCAAATGAGTGTCTGATTGCAGGCATTCCACACTTGGAATGATGGAATATGAGCAGTTCAACATTATAGAGCCCATCTGACCAGCCATTTTAAGATGTCAGAACAATATCTCCAATTTCGAGGTTTCACCCTCTAAATCTGGGCTCTAAGGCTCAAACCAAGTCTCACTTGTTGGCCCAATACCTACTATATGCCTGGTGCAGCTTACATAAAGAGATCTTACACTCGGAATTTTTTTAAGAGCCTTGAATCTAATGTTCTAGTGAAGTACCTAAGATTCAACCACAGAAGTTGTTTGACTTCAGCTAATATTCTTGCACGGAAAATTCGCTTGAAGCAAGGAGAGATCTGTAGATCATTCATTGTCCGGGCATCCTACAGCTATCATTTCGTCCTGGTTTCATGATATTTGATGCAGTATTGAGCTCACAGAAAATGTTTTACATTGAGCTCATGGTTATTCATGTTCTGATTGGTCCATCAATTTTCGGCCCGGGCTTCACCCGAGCCTTCGGGCATTACTGTTAAGATGGTGGGGAATGGTGGGCCTCTTCTTTGCTCCTCCAACATGGCCTGAACCTGAATTGAAACAGACTAGCCATGTTGGAGGCCTGATGATATTTTTTTGGTAGGTGTGGGAGGGCTTCAATAGCCTTCAACGCCTCCGACACCTCCGACACCTCCAGTGTCATTGACATGAAAGTGTAAGTCTCTAATTCACTTCAGGAACCATTTCCATGCCCTGGAATTATTAATTGCTGAATATCAGGACTTGAAACACAATGACTGAACCAAAAATGAAAATATTTCCGGAATTGCAGAAAGGCGGAGGCCTCCATCCCTGCTGGCAACATGGTTTCTTTAAATGTGCGCAACCTACCTGTCATGCTTCTCAATATGAGGGACATGGTTAACTAGTGCACTATCATATGAAGAAATTCAAATGGATGTGGTTGAGCCGTAGGTGTCGTAGGTGTCGTAGGTGTCATAGCCATCATGGGTTCCACCTGTGGATTGAACCCATCTCAATCTATCATTAATAATTTCCATGTCCACTATTCAGATGGAATACAGCTAAAACCTCCATGCCTTGATCCATTGACCCAATTCCCCAAATTCAACCGTGGGTAGGAAGCTCAATATATGGTTGAATCCAAGTTGAATAGTCCTACATAAAGAGATCTTATGCTCATGATAATACTACATTACCTTCAACATTCTCATTCCGAACATCCAGATCCACTGGAATTGTGTTTACAATGCACCAATATCAAACTGGAGTGCCTGCCGGAGGCCTCTGATGCTTCAGGAAACCTCCCGAGCAGTTCTATCAAGATTCCCGTGTGCGGCAGTCTGTCCGACCTTTGTGGGGAACAGCTGGAGCCACTGGAATCAGCTTGATAGTGTACTAATCTTGTACTGGCAGCATGCTGGAGGCCTCCGATGCATCGGGGATCTCAACACTGACTGTTGAATGGGCATTCAAATTCATCTGGATAAAATAGATACAATAGCAATGGAAGGTATGCTACAAGTGCACAAGTCACCACCTGATTGAAGGAGGGGAGAGGTTGTGATGTAGGTGAAGGAGGTGCTGGAGCCACTGAAGCTGCCGGTGGCTGGGGAGGTGAGAAAATGAAGGAAGATGCCGGGGACTCACGCGGGCACATTTATCAGCAGATGAAAATAGAACACCCCCGTGACCTACCCCCTCCGACGCCTACAGGGCCTCTTAGGGGGGTTATACTCCTACAACATAACCCCCCCTAAGAGGCCCTCACGTGACCTGCAACGGTGCTCCCTTAGGTGGCCTTAACCCTAACGCCGGGTCTCGGTCGCACCATCGTGTGCTGTGCACACCTCTTGCTCTCGACACTCTCTTGCGACGATGGCCACGGCGACGTACGCACCACCCCCAGGCCTCCCGCCCGCACACGCCTTCACACGCCGCAATACACGCCCCCGCCCGGCCCGCCGCCGCCACACCTGCAGCAGACATACGCCCCGCCACCCGGCCCGCCCCCGCCCTCTTCCTTGCTTCCGCTCGCCCCACCACCCGCGCCGCAGACAACAGCAGACCTAACCGCTTGCATCCTCTCCGCCCTCCCCTTCCTCGCGCGGCAGGGCTGGCTCCGCCTCTCCCTGCCCCCCGACCTCTCCGCGCGCTACAGCGCCCTCCTCGGCGCCTCGTCCGCGTTCTTCTGCTTACCCCCCACAGCCGAGGCGAAGACGAAGTTCGCCGCGCCGAGCGGCGCGGCCGCGTCTGACGAGGGCTTCGCGGCGATCCCGGGTGAGAAGCAGCTCGTCACGCTGCGCCGGCTCTCCTCCACCCCGCTGCCGGAGGACTTGAAGGGGGCATCGAACGACGCGTGGGCGGACACCGGCGCCTTGTTTAGCGCCGTCATGGAGGGCATCGCCGCGAGCCTCGGGCTGCCCGCGGACTTATTCGCGGAGATGGCTGCAGAGGCGGAGGTGGGGACGTTCGACCGCGAGGCGGGGCGCGCGTCGAGTCTCCTGCGGCTGTTTCGGTACGAGCGCCCCGCGGGGGACGACCCCGACTTCGGCGTCGGGGTGGGCGCAAGGAAGAAGGTCGTGGCGGAGGCGCATCGCGATCTCGGGCTGTTAACAATCGTGGTGGGCGCGTCACCCGGGCTGGACGCGCGGGACCTCGTGACGGGTGAGTGGGTCAGCGTAGAAGACGCACCGAGCGGCGGTGGGAGTGCACCGAGTGGAAGCGGCGGGCTGACGGCGACGATCATGTCCGGCCAGACGCTCACGTACCTCACGCAGGGGCTCTTCGCCTCGGGCGTGCACCGCGTCTCCGTCTTGCCCGCGCGCCCCGATACGCAGGATGGCGCGTTCCGCTTCTCGCTCGTGTTCGCGCTGCGCCCCGCGGCGGGCGCGCTCATCGACACGCGGGAGTTTGAGAAGAGTCCGCTGGTGCGTCTTCTCTCTCCTCCTTATTATTTCTTCTTTCTTTCTTCCGAATCGCTCTATCCTGCATTCGCCTCTGTTCTGTTCTCTCGCTCTCGATTCTTCCTTCCTTCGCGGGCGACGCGTCCTTCTTGTCTATTCTCTCGTCGTGCGATGGCGCTGCCTTACCCCCGCCCGTCCGCTTGCCTCCCCGCGCGAACATCCTATTTACGCCCTCTTCTCCCCGCACTCCATTTTAGTCTCAACTTCTAACCCGCGCGTTTTGTTTCAGATCCCCCCCTTCCCGCCCGCGCCCCTGTCCTTCTCCGCTCCCTCTCCGTCTGCTGCCCCCAACTCAACCTCTGCACCAACCTCTTCTACCTCCCCGAATTCGCAAGCCGAAAGCAACTTCCCGCACTGCTCCATGCACTTACAGCCCGCCGCGGAGCTCTTCCGCGCGATTGCCGCACGACACTGGAATGTGAACGTCGCGCCGGAGGTAAGGGAGGGGCAGAAAAGGAGAAGGGAGGAGGCGGCGCGTGCGGGGGCGGGTGAGACGCCGGAAGCGCCGGAGGGGGGAGCGAGCGGGGAGAATGGGGAGGGGAAAGTGGGGGAGACGGAAGGGGTGGCGCGTGGAGAGGGGGCGCGAGCCGATGTATGTTAGAAGCGACCCGATGTGCTAGACAAGCGGCTGGCGGGAGGGGGGATACAGTAGAGTGAGTGGGTGGGATAGAAGGGCGATGGAAGGCAATGTATCTAACCTGTATTTTTTTCTTTTTCACTCTGGTTTAGCCGACAATACGTAACTTCCAGCAATGCGAAGTCTTCAGATAGTCCGGAGTACTGCTAGATTCGTCCCGGCGTAATGCGAGTACTCCCATTTCTCCCTGAAATCCCACAGTGGGAGCGGCAGAAGGAAAAAAAAGAAAATTGGTCTGCTCGTAGTCCTTATCCGCGGTGAATCATCTCTTCGACTTATATTCCAACTTGATTTTCGAAGAGCTTCTATGTCATTCCCGCGAAAGAGGAGGGCCCCACGAAGGGATAAGATAATGAACAATCTCGTTATCGGCTATTAAAACTACTCGACTGATTATAACCTAGAAGTACGAGGGTTGAGCCCACTCTCAACCGCTCGGCGCTTGCCCTTGATCTGAGTTACATCCCTGCATTCGTCGGCCTGATAGCACAGTTGGTAGTGCATCCGCAGAGGTTGTGAGAGTTAAGTGGGATCAAATTTCGGCAGAAGACCCCCGTTCGATTCGGGGTCAGGTTATCACTTTTCTTTTTTTGTTACGTTAAAGGTGATCAAAAATAAACTCACCTTGAGGGCCGCGGAGCACCTTCATTCAAAGATGAGTTGGCCTACTTAATGTTTGAGCGAGCGACCCGGTGGTTCGATTCCACCCACATACATAAAGATTCGGGAGAAAAAACGCCTTTCAAGTTGTGGTTTTGGTTTTCAAGCACAACTCCTTGTGGATACTGTCCGCGCCCATAATCTTTCGAATCTGGCGCCACACATGCATGGCTCACGGATGACCGAGTTCACCGACAGCGAACCTCGAATAAGAATAATGAGCGCTCGATGAGTCTAGCGCACTCCACGAAGACGCTCCTCAGTTTCACTGTGGCTGTCCGGGCGCGCCTGATAGCTCTATTTCTCATCAATTTCTGCGAGGATGCATGGGAAATATGAATGAAGTCGTACGCTGATAATTAAAATATTATTGTCTATTTCTCCTAAGCCACAATGTCTCCCCACGGATTTGAATCACGAATGTTCTGCTTTGAATACCGCCGGCGCCAAGGACATCCTCCCTGATCTCAAGACGCTCGTTCCGGGGTAGGTTCGGCGCAAGCCAGTTTCCGCAGAGGCGATGTCGACAGCTTCGTTGCCGGCACGCCGCGAGCTCCGCGCCCGCCCAAGGCCGCGTGCGTCGTGCTCCCGGGCCCCGCGTTCCTCCCTTCGAAACCTCGTGGCACGAAACCGACCTCCTGACGCTCTCCGCGCTCGTATCGCGCGCACTAACTCGTATCTCTCCAAAACCCTCACGTTCGCATTCGTCTTTGGCATTACTTTGTGGCTCACACACGTACTCTAATCCCGTAAGTAGGTATTATTCGATTGTCCAAGTATCCAACGAAGTTTTGTCTTTTCTTCGCATTTCGGCTTGTGCGCGAAGTAGCGTTCTAGTGACTTTTCCGATCGCGTGAGGCAAGGAAGGACTCGCCCACTCTGAATCGACAAACAAGTACGTACTTCAGAACGAGAATATTCTGGGAGGTAAGCAGAAACAGCGGCTCCAGCCCTGTCAAAAGAAAGACCATGTACTTGGATCGATTTGGAACTCGATGTTCGTTGTTTCTAGTCTTTGATGAAATTTATAACAATCTCGCTCTTCTACCCTGTTGCATTTCAGTTCTCTGGATCCGGGAGGTGGCGCGATGGCACACGTGTTCTCTTTCCCTTATTATACTTTACAGTCCAAGAATACGTGCCCAACCCAATAAACGAAAACCAGCTGCCACCGACATCGTGATCCCCTTTCCGAGCGCGCAAAAGGTGACGACCTCATGAAGGTGCATCATATTCATGACCCAGCCTTCCGCACTTAAACACTTTCGACTCTGGCTGGCTGGCGCTGGATACTTGGTCCTGTTGTGCCTTCGCTCGAGACGCGCAGAGAACACGTGAACGCGGCGATTTTGCTTCCTACCATCAAGTTCAAGTTCAAGTACACAGAACTCTGTCTGGATGGGAAACACTTCAGCGTTCTGGATCGTTCTTGAAATCTCTGGCTCAACCTCACACACAACTGATGCATGGACAATCTCTTCGGTCTACCGTCCTGACTTCTATTGTGGGCACTACCCGTGTTCTAAGCGTGTCCGTGCAATCGTCATGCCGCCCTTCAGGCTTCCGGCGCGGGATGGCATCCGGATAAACGCCCGTAGCCATAACCGCGTTCTCGAAGATGCTTTCTGTTCGGTCGATGATTCGATCGGCCCTTGTAAGTAGACCCCGTTCCATCTGACTGGCTAAGCTCGTCTTCTCTCATCTGGCCGAGCGCGACCAGATGCAATTGACAGATCACCTTTCCGAGCACGCAAAAAAAAATGACAACTAAATTCTCGATATATTCACGGAGCCAGGCCTTCCCCCACTTTCGACCCCTCTGGGGGGTTGGATATTTGTCCTTGTTGTGCCTTGGGTCCGGACGCGTAGCGAGCACGTGGACTCGGCCATCACTTCCTCTCACCATCAGCTTCCGGTACGCAGACTCTGGATCGGAAACTACCTACTCGTACTTCGGCCTACTTCTTTCCTGAATTCTCTGGTTCAACCTGACGCACGCAACCGATGCATGTACAATCTCTTCCGTCTACCGTCCTGCCTACTATTTTGGGCACTACTCGTGTTCTAAGCGTGTCCTTGCAATCGTCATGCCGCCCTTCAAGCTTCTGGCGCGGGATGCCAGTGGCATCCGGATAAACTCCCGTAGCCATAACCGCGTTCTTGAAGATGCTTTCTGTTCGGTAGATCAGTCGCCCAGTCCTATGCTAAGCTCGTCTCATCTGGCCGTCCCGTGTTCACCGGAATGTAAGTATACGCCCATCCTTTTGATCCAGTACACCATACCTGCGTTCTGGACGATTTGTTCCGTCTTGGTCCCATCCGTCTGTTAAGCTCATCGCGTCCCTTTTACTGCTGTATTCTGGAAGTTACGTGCGCTCCCCTAACGCGGTGTGCATCCCCGATTCCGAGAAATGCGAGCTGGACTCGGTGGGTCGCGCCCAACACTTCGCCGTCGAACTTCATGTCTCCGATTGACTTGTGATTTCTCTACGGTCCGTCAACTCTGGCTGCATAAATTAAATGCCCGGTGGCACCCGAACGCCGTAAAGCTGCGCCACACGAAACGCCAGCATATAGCTCCCTATAGCTCCCGCGGGCTTCGCACATCCGTGCAGGTTGTCAGGCACGTGGCGGCCGCACTGCGAGCGAAACACACCTTGCCTCCGACGTCCACCATGCCGCAGAGCTACCAGCTACACAGTCAGTCAAGGCTCCGCTCATCGCAGCATACACTCGCTCATAGACTTGTTTCAGTTATAAGTGTCAGTGGGATCCACTGGAAGCCCGACTTGGTCAGCCTCCATCGAGAGGCGCCAAATCTTTATGTAGGGATCGATATCGACGGCAAACGAATTCATCGCAGCTCCGCAAAGAGGGATTGGGGAGGGCTTTGGAATGATCTGGCACCTCTGTGAGTCGAGATGTGGGATCTACACGCGTCTTTGCGTCTGACGCTTTTGTGAGATCGGCGGAAAGCCCGTCTTCCGTCATTGCTCTGCAGGTTTTTTCTAAGCACAGTTTGAAGAAAGATAAATGTCTGGCCAAGACAGAGATGGAGATAGGTATGCTCCTGGAGAAGTGCAGCACACAGAAAGGCAAGCCACTTTTGTTTTACTCGAGTCGACATTTGACGCCGTCGGCGTAGATTTCCACATCCAGCTGGATCATATCAAGGAGAATGTGACAGGCATTTCGAAGCCGGAACTGGTCATGCGCATGACCGCGATCGGGGCTGCTCAAGCCGGCGCAATTGCACTTGCCAACGCCACACAGGACAGTGTGACTCTCGAAAGCAAGGTGGCTCATTCTGCGATCAAATTGGTCGATCACATAGTGGAACACGGTGATCTGGCATCCGCCTTGGGAACCCTAGTTGCGAGCCTCAAGATCGTCGTTAACATGGCAGCGGAGATAGCCAAGGTCAGACGATACTGCTTGCTGTTGATCCACCCTCTTATTTATATGCTCCCAATCAAGATCCACCCTTATTCCAATGCCGCATTGAAGGTGTTGATGTCGGTACAAGAGGTGGACCTGCGGTCATCTAATTCCTTGCCTACGCTGACCACAATTAGGCTGTAAAGCAACAAGAAGAGAAAGATGAGAAAGTCATGGAATTGATCCAGATAATGACCGATGCGTATTCCTTCGTCGAGGACATTGAGTCTCTGCCAGGAAAGCTCAAGCGGCTCGAAGATACTGTCGCCGAATTGGTCAAACAGACGGCCGAATGTGCCCTGTTTATTCGCGAATACACCGGCCACGGGTTCTGCGGTAAATGCTTCCGAAATTTCCTCTTGGTGTTACTTACAGTGTCAATAGGTAGACTGCTCACTGAGCTCTGGTCGGGCCACGGCGAGAAGATCGAGGATTTCACAGCTGCCTTTGGTCAGCTCCAGAAGGCTCTTGATACAGGCTTAATGGTGCACAATGTGTTTGTCTCGACAAAAACACAAGAGATGGTTGAGGGCTTGGGTGAGTATTTGTCTCCAACCACATTTTTGTCAAGTGCTCACATCAGCACTCAGCACAATCGGACAAGCTCAAAAGCCTCAGGCCGATTGACATGAATGCATCCCTGCGCACAGGATGTTTACCCGGAACGCGACAGGACCTATTGAGTGTAATCACAAACTGGCTGACCACACCCGCTGATGTGGGGAATCCCGGCAATATTCTCTGGTTGCACGGCGTCGCTGGCGCAGGAAAAAGCGCGATCGCCACTTCTGTCTCTGAGTACTTCCGAGATTTGGACCGTCTTGGGGCATTTTTGTTCTTCAACAGGACCAATCCTGTTGGGAGCAGTCCTGGCTCTGTTATTCGCACAATTGCCTTCTGGCTGGCTAGGTCAAACAGCTATGTCGCGTCTGCAATATGCAATGCAATTGACCACGACCCGGCCTTAGTAGATGCCCCAATGCGGACCCAATTCGAGAAGCTCTTGCTCAGGCCTCTGAAGGCTACTGAGGGTCATATCTCTGGCCCAATTATCATCATCCTGGATGCTCTGGATGAATGCGGTGATCTCAATGCCCGGCAGAGCCTTATCTCCCTTCTGTCAAATGAATTCCACAAACTTCCTTCTGCCTTTCGCTTGTTCATCACTAGCCGCCCTGATTCGGACATCGCAGTCAAATTCGAGAGTCAACCAAAGATTACCAGACTGCTCCTTGATATTACACTGCCGTCAAGTTTAAAGGATATCCACCATTACATTGATGATCAGATGGTGGAGATTCGACAGCAGCAGAACTTGGATCCTACGTGGCCAGGAGAGGCCAAAACCGCGGCTCTGGGGGCATGCTCTTCGGGTCTCTTTATTTGGGCTTCGACGGCTACGAAATGGCTTCTTGATGCCTATAATCCAACCAGGACCCTTGAGTCTTTGTTGCAGAAAGGCCGGAACCTCGATGACC